CCACCCACCCATCCTACTTCCTGCCCAGCCGAGTGCAAGGCAGAGCCACTTAGGGAGTTTTGGTGAGCTGTTGTGGGCAGGGGGAGCAGGGATGCTGACCCAGCACAGAACTGGGGGAATGCTGACCTGGCCTGTGACAGCTCACAAAAAACTCCATAAGTTGCCCTCCAGCCCATATAATTGCCACCCTTATTATACAGAGTATTTATCAGCTAATTGTAGGCAGCCTTAAGGTACCAGTCAACACAGATTTCTGAGGCAAACAGAAATATGAGAACTTCTGAACCATAGTAAATTTCTCTGTTTCCTACAGTTAGGCTAGAAACTTCAAGCCTGATGCAGATTTACTAAATTTATGGGATTTTGTTCTTGATTTCACTGAGAACATGGCTGATTCTTTGATTGAACTTATCACTGATCAAACTGCCTGAGGTATTCAAGTATTGTAAAATATTGCCTCTGAAACCTGAATGCCTCCATACTTCAGGAACACTAAATATTTAACTACATAGATTTGCAGCCATTCTGCCCCAGAGAAAGGAATTGAATAAATGAGCATGGTAGGCAAGTTAGGTAATACAGGCTGGAAAAAAAAAATTCAGCAGCATGATAGTATCATTTTGATTTCACTGGTCCTGCTGAGGAAGGTCACTGGGGAGGTATTCCTCTTCTGTAATTTTGTTTGCATTTGGCAAAGGGGAAGTTTTAAAATGGAGGTCATACATAGTGTTTCCAGATTTGCCTGTCAGTGTGGGGTGCACTCATTTATTAGCAGTACATTTCTGAGGTCTCTGTAATTCCATCGATGTGCTGCTTGTATTACTTGTGTTGCTACATGGAGCTGTATCTCTCCCTTCCGCAAGTCCTCACCCCCAATGGAGCTATCTTGCTGGACTCAGTTTCAGTGGGGCTGGGTTCCTCCAAACACCAAATCGGTCAAACACATATAGGCATATACATACAGATTAACAGGGCATGCCCGAGCTGGGTTATTGAGCATTGACAGGCTGACACCCTCATGTGCCTTAAACTCAGTTCATCCCTCATTTCAGCAGGACAATAATAAACACAGTTAGACATGCATACACACATGCTAACAGAGTATGTCTGAGCAGGCCGGGTCTGATCAGCTCTTTCAGCTAATACCCTCATGAGCCTCAAAACTCAGCATGTCCCAATCTCTTGTCACAATGGTCCTAGTAGTAACTCCCTTAATGAGCAGACCCCACCATACTTTTGGGCATTACAGGAATCTTTGGCTTAGGCAAAAGAAGCATTGCTGCAGAGCAAATGGAAAGGTCAAGGGGAAGGAAGAGGTTCAGAGAGAAAATATAGCCACCAGCTTGACCATAAACATTATTTATTGCCAGGTATATGAATTTATGATGCTACCAGTAGTAATAGCCATACAAGAGACACAAATAAAACAGTTACAATATTACATTGTTTCAATTATGTATTTGGGGAAGTCTAGCTCAAGTTTGATCAGCAAAAGTCAGATTTGGAAAGCTGTGCCTGGAGTCAGAGAGAGAAAGAGAGAGTGATCAGCAAAAGTCCAGTTTAGAAAGGTGTAAGAGAACAAGAGTCAGGTTCCTGGAGTCAGAAGAGAGAGAGAGAGAGGGAAAGAGAGAGTTGGGATCTCACCACTCAGCAAAGCTTGAACCATTTGAGGTTCCCAGGTGTTTTTGGAGCTTGCAGACAGTCAGAGCCCCCAGCATGCTCATTGAAGGTATTCCAGGCAGAAAAGGAGTGGAACTGGTGCAGCTTTGGATCCAAGCACCAGGACAGAAACTTGAGCTTGGGTAGGGGGTTTTGTAGAGAACTAACAATGGCTCAAGGGAGAACAGTAGGTTTGTTTATGGGTAAACAATGGCTCATATGCTGGATAATAGGAACTGATCACTGCTGGCTATGGGTGGCATTACTCTGAGGCAACTCACAATACAGACAGGCAGACTCAATGTTTTGGGTACCAATAAAGGAGTCATTGCTGGAATTGGTCTGATAAATGCTGAGCTGGGTGTGTGCAGACGTGGGTTGATTAGCATTTGGAGCAGGGATCCCCCATCATGCAGTGCTCCCCTGCTTCTCTGGTCCCAGAATTCAGTGCGGTCCTTGCCTTGGAATCTCTGCTCTCCATCCTGAATGCTAATGAAGATGTATGCCTGTCCCATCTCCCATGTAGATGAGTTGTCATCCGGTTCCATCTCTGATGTAAATGAGATCAAGGGAGTTGCTTCACTCCTATCACTCTTGTCTGGAGGGGCTTAGGTGCGTCTCCCACTGCACCTTCATTGTCTTTTGTAAGTCCTTCCTCTAATCAGTTCTTGTGCAGGTGCTGAGAGGGGCTGAGTCCTTTGAGAGTCAGACAGGCTGCATACTGTGCCAGGGTTCCCCAAGAACACAGAGATGACAGGTAACAATAGGGCTAACATTACCCAGAATTAACACCCCTAAGAATTTTACAAGTCAGAATGCTCACTTGAAAGAAACTTGCCATTGGCCACTAGGAATGGTACACAGAACTGATACAGTTCGTTGTAATGAAGAATTCAGCCCCTTTTTCATGACACAATAAAGCAATTACTTTAATAAGACTAGTGGTACACAGACAACAGCAGATCCAGAAAGATTACTACTAGTACTGATCTTCTGGAGAATAACATTTGTTCTACAGTTTAAATATGCAGGACTGGATCCTGCACAAATTCTACATTGAGCTATGCTACTAGCACAAACACACTTAAAAATGGCTTAAGTGACTACCTATGAATTCCCTTTGTATTGTGGCATAACCACTTCATAGTTTCATAGTGCTTAAGGTTGGAAGGGACCTAAACAGATCATCAGGTCTGACCCCCTGCCCCAGGCAGGAACGGGTGCCACGGTCATATCACCCCAGCCAAATCATAATACCCCAGTCAAATATCTGTCCAACCTCCTGTTGAAGACTCCCACGGTAGGAGAGAGCACCACCTCACTTGGGAGCAAATTCCAGAGCCTGGCAGCTCCCTTCAGATGATGTGAGTACAGTTGTATCTATAATGAGTTATGATTTCTCTACATTCATTTATTTTGCTTCTCTTATGAAGCAATGCAGTGAAAGAGTTATTTAATAAGCAAAACTGAAGTAATCAAATCTATTAGGAGCCTTTAGCCACATTAGGAAGATAAATATAATGAAGGAATTCTCACATCTGTAAAACCTACAACTTGAATTGGAGAATCAAGTGAAATCATGGTAAATTCCTGACTTTACTGAAGACAAAGGCAAAATGAAATCATTAACTCCCATGGGCCAACAACTCACCCAATATTTTGCTGTGGAAATGCTGTTTCATCCAACAAAGCCCCTTTCCAAATTGATGATAGCCTTCTTCACAATGCTTCTTAAAATGAGTAACTAGTCATTTCAGAAGAAAACTTTTTTTTAAATTTTAAAGCCAGGCATATCACCCTGCTTAACTGCAATATAATCATATCTGACATCTTATCTTAAGACCTACTTTACTTAAAAACAGTAGGAAAAAGTGGGAAGAAATCTTTCCACCAGTGATAACACCTAGCTACTGGTCACCTTCACAAGTGAAAGGGAGGGTGGGAGCACTAACTCAGGACTCTGGCAGCTCTTTGCATTTTAACCATAGCTATGAAGATTTGCTGCGATCAGGGTTAAATAATGCCAGTGTCTGTCTGGAGTCTTTTCTGTGCTGGCATTCCCAATTCTGCTTGATGAATAAGCCTCTCTTTAAGGCAGGGGTGGGCAATTATTTGGGCTGGGGGGCCACTTAGGGAACTTTGGTGAGCTGTCATGGGCCAGGTCATCAGAATGTGTATAACCTAGTGTACAGTTATTAACCTGTGAACAGGAAGTACTCTGAAGTTAGGTATTCAAATAGATTTGAAATTGAGCCTTCTGACTTTTCAAGGGATTCCATTTGAAGTACTATGGATATGTTTCCCCAGTGCAAGACACAATATCTATGCTATATCTTAACTTCACAGTTGCCTGTGTCTTAACCTACAGGTTCAAAGCCCCACTAACTATTTGCAAGGATTGGATGGAAGACCCATAATAGCTGCTCCTGTGTTCACAAAGGTAATTTACTTTTATGGCACATTTCAAAATGAAGCAAGCCAATTACACTTTTATACATATACTAGCCAATTGCCGGTCAAGAATGATCCAGGGAGAGAGAGATGGAGTGCCACCATCTAACGCCCCATGCTGCCGCTGTTCTGCCTCTTGCAGGAAGCGAGGTGGAGGAGCCAAGGCCAGCGGCTCCCCCACCTTCTGTCTGGTTCTCGGCACAGCTTCGGAATCACAGCAGCGCTCCCCCATGCTTGGAGCACTCAGATTGACTGATTCCGTCAGCCAATCAGAGTGTAAATAAAGCGTTATGGACAGACAGACAGACTTAGGCTTTTATAATATTAGAATAATTACAAACTTCATTTCTCATTATGGTTGTATAAAAAGAAATTCTGATACATTATAGACTTTTGAAGATTTATATGATTTAGGGACATCTTTTTAAAATAAGAATCAATTTTAATACTGGAATCGTTAATTTTTTATGATCTTTTTTACATTTTAGATGCTGCAAGACATTTCAGCTTCTGAGGGTCAACTGGTTGTTTTTGAATGCCGTGTAAAAGGAGCTCCTTCTCCAAAGGTTGAATGGTACAGAGAAGGGACGCTGATAGAAGATTCTCCTGATTTTAGAATCTTACAGAAAAGTATGTCTACAACATAGAAATACTCTGTCTGCTATGTTATAGGTATTGAAACAAGAATATTGATGTATTGCACTTAGAATTTGTAGTTACAATAAGCAGAGCTCTATTAAACAGCAGCTTATGCTGGCTGAACAGGGTAATGGCAGCAGAAGTACTTTGCTGGCTATAACCCAGGGGTCAGCTTGTGTAACATGAAGTTAATTAACACTGTCTGGAGGTGCCATAAGGAGAATTCCTCTAGGCAGAAGAAATTCCTGCCTGATATGAAGCTGGCAAAGGCCTCTTTTCTACTTGCTATGCCTCTTCTACTGCCCCTAGTTCTGCACAGTCTACTCTGAAGAGGGAAAGAAGGTAGAATGAGTGCAGGGAGCTAGTCAGGCTGGTAGACAGAGGGGAAAGCAACACTTCCCAGCTGAGATCCCATTATACTTGGTTCTCTGCTGGGAGGAAGAACATAATTCAAAACTGCCCCCTCAGCCAGTGCAGGAAGAATAAACAACTCTGATCCGTAGTGTAAATGAACTTTACTGTTATAAAAAGGCAGCTTATATGAATTTAAAACACAGGTGGGCTGCACTTCATGCAAGTCATTTTTCACAGCAGTACAATCCATCTGCAGCAGCATTTATACTGATTTCCTGACACTAATGCAGAAAAACCCCAGAGACAAGATCCAAGAAAGAAATAATATTAGTATACTATTCCACCAAGACATTGGCTAACCCAGGGCAGAACACACTTGATGGATTGGCATTCTCTTAACAATAAGAGTTTAAGGTCTTTTTGATGATCCTTCCACAGAAACTCACCCCAAAAGCCATGTTACAGTAAACAGAGAACTGGGACAAGACTTGATAGTGACTCTCTAGTGTATCAGTAAAATTAATAATGTGCTTAGTACAGTAATTCTTCTGCTACTGTTTTCCCCCTTAGAACCTCGCTCTATGGCCGAACCAGGTAAGTAAGGTTTAATTGTCTTATGGTTATAGAAGCATGGGGATTTAATCTGACAAAGACAAAAGCAAGAAAGTGAACACAGATAAGGTAGATGACAGTTTTGAATCAAGAAGTAGAATCTTTCTGGGTGCAACTTATTGTGTTTGAACTCAAAACAAATTTAATTGTGGGGTTTTTTTCCTCAGTGGATGTCACAGGAATATACTTTACCATGCATTGTTCCATAAAGCTGAAAACAGACTCTCTCAAAAAGAAGAATATCCACTAAAATTGAAATTGGTTTCTCTCAGTTTTTGAAGAAAATACAACTTTCACACTCTTCTGATCCAATTCCAAATTGGAACTCTTCTCACAGGCAAAACATGAATAAAATAGTCTGCATTAAAGTCCCCTGTTTTCTTAGGGTCAGATATATAGCTGATGGTATAGGATTGTACGACTTTCTCCAGTTTGATAGCCAGGGAGCATTATGTAAGATGCTTACCCATGTCATCCATTGCCCCTGATATCATACCCCTGACCAATGAAAAATGAGAGTGCCATATCAAGTGTTCCATCCCTGATATCAGTGAATTGTATCAGTGGTTGGATTTACCAATGCCAAGTACCAGGTGACAGTATGGATGACCCTGCATCTTAGAATGCTACCCACCCTTGCTGTCTAACCTAACTATGGATGAAAGCCTCACTAATTTGGTTATTAAACATCTTGTGGCAGCTGCCAGGACATGTCAGACATTGGTCAGGTAGAAACATCATCATTACAGATCAATTTTCAATCCAGGCTGCCATTTTTGCAAAGACAATTTTTACTCACAGTTTGGTGCCCACATTTAGTCCCCAGTGTAAAGAACTGATTTTCTGATTCAGACCTGCAGGTACAATTTCACTGAACTTGCAAGTTTGAAAATCAGACCTTTACATTTAGGCTTTTGTACTTTTTCATCAGACATTATTATTCTGCCTAAATTGTTCCCAGTAAACTGCATCCATCCTTGCATCTTAAAATTTTGGAATTTTAAGAACACTTTGAGTGAAGTCAGGGAGGATCTGGTCCATTTAATTTTTCCAAATCTGATTTTAAGTTGTTTAGGGAGGGATCTTGTTTTCTAACTCTGTGTATAGGAGGAGAAAATGTTAAAGTTTTCTAAATGTTGCTAACACCTGCTTATTTTCATTTATATTGCAAATGTTGAAGCTAGTGTGGATGGAATACCAGTTGCTGCCCGTGGCAGCTGGTTGCCATTTTATATGAAAGCTGCCAATGCAATTAACATTGGTAAAGCTAAATCAGGCTGAGCAATGGTGGGAATTTTTTTAAAAAGCAGCTGTAGTGTGGGCAAGGCATTTCTGTGTTGGTTTAGCATATGTACTATGAACAATAATGATATTGCTCTGATTGGCTGCAGAGGAGATTTGTACTTTGGTAATTGCTGAGGTGTTTTCAGAAGATTCTGGGAGTTTCACATGTACTGCAAGCAATAAATATGGCACAGTCTCTAGCATTGCTCATCTAACAGTTAAAGGTAAGTGATCATTTTTAGAGATCTTCTTTCTAGTAAAATGAATGGTTCAGGTTGTTGCTTGAGAAAAGGCTCCATGTAGGATTTGGCTCATCTTGTTCTATATGGAGTGACGTAAATATTCTAAGAGAAGTTCTGTTTGCAAAGTTACAGCAAGGCACAGCAACACGATGAGCCAAATCCTTCACGGAGCCTTTTCTCAAGCAAAATTTGCATTGTTTTGCAGCATCTCTGGATTCCTTCCATTTTCTCAGTTCCTTAACTATAGCATGGAGCCCAAACCTTGGGCCAAATATGCAGCTTTGTGCTGCTAAGGCATGAAGTAGATCAAGAAGTAGAGCATTGATGTATGGAAAAAAAGACAAACAACAGCATTGGCTTGTACTTAATCCATGTTCCAAAGATTTTCTTCATAACAATAAAAGTTAGAGATTTTGTTCTTAAAATTAAAGTTTTGATTTTGAGGATGCTTGGGGCATTACACTTGACCACCAGTCAATTTTCCAATTTGCAGAGTGATTCCCTTTTTAACTTAATAATGTTCTTTGGTAAATTTGGGGGAATAGATAATCATATGCATATGGTCAAACAATTAATTCTAAAGATTAGGTATGGCATTGGCTTTCCCAGCAGAAACAGCTAAGATGTTGTTATCATTGATTCACCACATTTAACTGTAACAGCAGAACGTGAATATTTCCTCTTCCAGGGCCTGAAGACAACAGTAATACTGCTACCCTTCATACAATGAGCTCAATCAATTTAATTGCAACTGAACAACAACCTTCCCTACACAACCCTTCACTCCCTGTGGTGGACCAGCCCCCAAAGCCTAAACTGGAAGGGGTTCTTGTCAACCACAATGAACCCAGGTCAAGTTCCAAGATAGGCCTCCGGGTACACTTTAAACTTCCTGAAGATGATAAAGGAAGTGAAACATCATCTGAGGATGGAGTTGGGTCTACAAACCAAATCAGACCTGGCTACTTCCAAGACAGGACTAATGGTCAGGCAGTGAAGATACCAGAACCCACCTCACCTTCCAAAGAGCCTCCTCCAGTATTGGCCAAACCTAAACTGTAAGTAAGAAGATTTTGTATACATAATCATATTATTATAATTATGCATATAGTTGTTGGCCCTAGGATCACTAGGCAGAGGGCCAGATTAACCCGTTAGTAGGCACAGCTGGGCACTTTCTTCACTTTGGGCCCTAGGCATGTGCCTAGTTTGTCTGTGCATTAACCTGGCCCCAACTAGGCATGAACTGGGACTCTTTCATGCTAAGTATTGTATAGTCACAGGTAATAACAGTCTCTGACCCCCCAGAGCTGACACAATCTGATTAATACTGGACGTGTCTACACGTTGCCCTATGGTTATGCAGCAACACACTACATCACTGTACAGCACACTATGGCAATATAGCAATCACACAAGTCTACACATGATTGCCAGCTACATTGCCATAGCAGTAAAACCTACCCATGTACCACATGCATGGCGCAGTAACTGCCTATACTGTGCCAAGCTGTGTAACAGCTTATTGCAGCCCATGACATTTCATCCATCCTTGTTTTTATATAGAGATGCCACCCAGTTACAACAGCTCCATAACCAGGTCTTGCTGGAACAGCAGCAGTTACATCATTCATCTTTTACATCTCCAAGGGAGTTGCCATTCAACACAGGAACATTGAACTCTGCTGCTTCAGTCAACCAGAAGCCTTCATCAACATTGTACAAGCAGGCCAAAGTTTCTCCTTCACAGACGTTCAGTTATACCCGACCTAAACAGTTCCTTGCATCCCAGAACACCACACCACCTATCAACTCCCCTGCCAGCTCCCCAGTGCCTGCATTCAGCAATGTGTCTCAAGGAATCCAAAGAGCAAATGACAAAGAGAATCTCGTGGGACCTCCTCAGCCAGTCCAATCAAGGTCTCCAGGAGGGTTTACAAATAAAACTGAATCATCTCCAGTAAGCCCCAAAGAATCAGTGTCGCCTGCATTATTGCTCTCTATATCCAACATGAACCAATTTCAGCCCCCTAGTGTAATTCCAAATCCTCTCTCTCCAACCAGCCATATTCAGAACCCCGTTGCCTTTCTCAGCTCAGTCCTGCCTTCTCTTCCATCGACACCACCAACCAATGCTATGGGTCTGCCTAGGAGCGCACCAGCTGTGTAAGTAGCAGAAGCCTTATATGGTGATTTGGGAAAGGAAGTACTGTGAAAAGAAATTCTAGCATGCATCTGTTTTGTGCTCAAATTGGCATTCTATAGAAACAACCTCATAAAATAGAAAAAGGTCTGATCCTTTAGCTGCTTGCTGACTCCTTGGAGAAGGGGCTTTGATTCTTTCAGCTTTTATGCCCATATGGGGGAGACTGAGGCAGGTCCATCTGGAAGGATGACAGATAGCAACAACATGATACCCTGAAGATAATGTGAACTTAGGATGATTATATGGGAGGTTTAAAATGGATGGAGGCAGGGGATACTGAAGACTACCAGGATACAGTCAGTGATACAGAAAATTCTATTAGTGGGAGGAAATTATTTTTAGGATTGTACAGGATAAGTAACTATATGAGAACTTACCAATAGGAGCTTTTATATGTATTTTCCTACTGTAAGTAAAAAGTAAAATTTAAAAGATGTCTCAGTGGTGAGCATTTTACCCTTGTAGAAATATCTAAGAAATAGTCTAAAGCAGGATGCTGTTTAGTTTCGAACTGTTTAGATATTTATAAGATCACAGAAAAGCTATGGAAAATAAGAAGCAACTAAATTGTTTCAATGAGCGAGAGGGAGAGAGAGAGAGACAAGTGTATGTGATTGTCTGGCAAGCTCCACATAACCAAATAAGAGAGATGTTATGCCCAAAAATGTTCTGGTTTCAAGAGCTGCATTTTTTGTTGACAGTGCTGAAATTAATAATACCATCTCAATAATCACAAGGAACCATGTGTTGCCATGGCTTACACTAGCAGTTTGATAGAACTCCAAACTGCACAAAGGGGGAAGTCTGCATTACTAGCCCTATTTTATATGTGAGCTAAATGAAGCACAGTGTAGTGATTGTTGGGGACAGAGCCTTCTGACTTATTAGTCCATGCTCTGTCCCTGATGAACCATAACTCTATATCAAACACAGATAAAACTAGACATTTTTGTAGCTGTGCTCCTAACAGTCATCTACCTTTCACAGTAAGGCTCCAAGAAGCCTAATCCCTTCTACATTATAGACTGCTCGGCATCACTGAGCCATTTATTTCTGCTAAGCAGAGCAGAATTCCTCTGGAACATGCCAGGGCTCTAGTCACAGCACTGAAGCCAGATACAAAAACCAGAGTTCTTGTACTTGGCCTGAGGGTTTCATCTTTGCCTCTACCAAACAGTGACTGAAATCCCTAACAGCTTTGGGTGCTTTGGGCACAAGTGCAAGCAGCCTACTGGAGAGGCACACTAACTCATGGCGCTTTATTACAAAGCACCATGCATTAGATACTTTATCGGACAAGGATTAGATTTTCGCACAATCGGCCATTTTAAAATGCTCTGTAGCCATGAATATTTGTTACGTTATCGCTGCAGAGTGCTTTCAGAGGCCTCACTGCACAAGAAACGCAACTTCTGTAAACACCCTTTCACAGTTTCACAAATGTAAGCAAAAAATGACAAACGTACTCCCTTATTGGAGCAAGTGAACAAGTACTTTGCATTTCTAAAGCACTGTACAAATATTAACTAATTAAATCCTCACCACACTCTGCTAAGGTATGGTACTTAACTATTATTATCCCCATACAGTTCCTGGCTTCCAGTCCAGATCTAATTCCTCATTTAAATAGCTTCTAGCTTTCCTCAATAGAGGGCATTAAAAATAATCACACACGGAGCTGAAAAGTATTTGTGCCAATATGTGAATGTAGCAGGTTGTGGAATTTGCTTCACTCAAACAGTCTTTGTTTGCTTGCAATCCTTGTTCATTGTCACTGTTTCCCCAGGACACACTCCCTCCTGGCAGAAATCAACACAGACAATTAACAATATGCAAATAAAATAAACAAGTAGCCTATGGTCTTTTCCCAAACCAGTGCAAGTGCCCAGCCTTGGGTGTGCCACCACTAACTCCTCACTCTTTTACCTCCATCAGCAAGTCCCAGTCTCTCTGTCAACTCACAGTCTCTCAGAAGTTTATACACATGTTCCAGGAGTGTGTGGGGGGGGGGGGCACTTTAATTACAGAGGCACTGAGAACTGCTCTAATTAAATTGTCTGCAGTGTCTTGTGTATCAGTGTCCCTGTGCTGAAAAATGGCAGCGGGGGCACTTTAACTAAAGCTCATTGAACGAGCTTTAGTTAAAGTGCCCCCGCTGCCATTTTTCAGTGCAGGGACACCAATACACAAAATACTGGTGTATGCTGGAGCACAGTAATTACCACACTTCAGCACACTTGATTAATCAACTCTGCTTTGACACACTGTAATTACAGCACATTGGAGCAGCCTCTCTGCTCATTTATAGGTGCTTTTAGCATCTCTCTGGGTTTCTTCACAGTCGTTCAGACCCATAGAGAATGTCTTGACTCAGGCTTCTACCTCCAGCCCCACAGCCTTCCTGTCTTCCCCCTGGGCTCTCTCTGGGAGCCTCTTAACTCCCATGGAGCCAGCTAATTATCTTGGTCAGCTGGCTCAGTCCTCCAGAGCAGGCTTGCAGCTGCAGTTCCTATGCTGGGCAGCCTGCTACAGTGAACATTTACAAAGATTTCATTTTTATTAGTCTTTACTGATGGGATAAATAATGCTTATAGAGGAAGTGGTAAAAGGCTTGTGCTGGGCCATCTAAAATTAATATATTGTTCACAACAGTGAACAGTTATTTCTTCTGCCTATGCTTTCCCTAAGTCAGAACATAATTGATGTAAATATTAGAGCATTCCAAATTTATCCCCTAGTTGCTTTGGTAATTATGGTCCATAATTGTGGACCCTTAGCTTATGAACTGTTATTGTTTAATAAGATAACATTTATTGAAAGTTCTATTTGGTTACAACAGCCAACATCTCAGAAATAGAAAGGTGGGAATTAGGTGTAGAAGGGGTGGGTGGAGGTAGGTAGCGGAAAGAAAGAATCATCACTAAAGAAGTGAGATGAGGAAGAGAAGGTTAACCTCTTTTTTTGTATCTATGCCTAGATATTTGCACTTTGCACTTTGTAGATGACATTATTGTGAAATCAACATTCTAGAAATTAAGGATTTGAAACGAAGATGCTTATTATAATATTATTATGGTTATTTCTTCTAGATGTGCCATCCTCAAAGCTTACTGAATGTCCTTACATAAGGAATCAACTATTGTTTATCATCTGCATGTTTAAGTAACAGCTTTTTAATATATGTTTAGATCGACTCAGGGACTATCCAAGAAAAATCTAAAACCTCTGCAGTTAGCAACAGATGATTATATCAGAGACAATAAAGCAACACTTGTTAAAGATCTGGAGAGAACGCTGCATTTCAAAGAGGACTTTAATCAACATAGTATTCAGCAGGTAAGCATACTGATTGTTATTGCATTTCATACACCCATGGACAAAATAAATGTTAAGTCTTAAAGGACATAAATATATGTAAGGCTTAGTTTATATTCTACATTTTATAATAAATTCCTAGTAACAGCTGCATGAAATAGCAAACTGGAGTTCTAAAGATGTAAGGAAGAATTGACTGTAGAAGGTTTTACTTTGTGGCTTCTTATGGCTCTATTTTTACCCTCTAATAGAGAATATATAAGAAAAACTAGAGGAATATAAAACTTTGTTGGCATATAAGAGATTTGTGCATATTGGATATCTCTGTCTAATGTCCAGCCCACTTAATTCATTGCACACAAATTCATACAAATTAAGAGGAAAGGAAATTATGATATATAGCAGACTGCTGTTTTTACTTGGCTTAAAATATCATGAATAAAATGCTATCTTAATGTTTTGTGTCCTGAACATTTTTTTCAACCAGGTGAGCAAAATTAATAAATTATTTCATTAGGAATTTGCCAGGAAAATAAGTGATAATTGTTACTGACTTTTACTAAAACTGCAAGACCAGTGTTAATTGAGTTTGGTAAAATAACAAGCTTTTAATAAAGCTCAAGAGATCAAATAGTAGTTGATTTCAGCTAGATTCAACACACACCTCAGATTCAGGGGTCAGTAACAAATTAAGGTGCAAGTAAAATGTCTAGGGGAAGGCTAGGGGAAATCCTTGACGAGGCACATCTAATAGATGTCATTGAATAATGTTGAGATGCACGAGCAGCTTCAGGGTGGCTATACTGTCTGCAAGGAAGTACTGTGCTCTAGTCTTACCTCTGTCATGGGACCCTTTATAATAACCATATTTCCTCAGGTTCTGCAAAAAGAGATGAGGACTTTGTCCTAGTCGTCACAAATAAGGAACCTATTTATAAGTGCATTTCTGACAGAACACATACATTGATATGCAAAAGCTCTGGTATCTGTAGAATAAATTACCCACTGTGGACAACTGCAGTTGTAATCCCTGTTTTTTTAATTATGTTGTTGACCTTTCCTCTGATGGAGTGCTCTGCCAAAACACTTCTAGTAAAAAAACTGGCATGTGGTATGTTTTGCCAATGAATCACAAGTGTTATAGTTTATACTTGCTATGGTAGTAATAAGAAGTATTTAGACAGCTACTGTGAAATATCAGTCAGTCTTTCAAGTTAACTGCATGATAACCTCTTTAGACACAATGGTTACAAAACAGGATCAGAGTTATCTACTGATAAAGTTATCTACTGATAGCTATATATATGCTGTTTTTATCATCAGATACAATGCCAAAAGAAAATCCTGAATCATAAGGCACAAAAACTTTGAGGAAGTTCAGAGCTGACTCATCTCTACTTACTATAGCAACTAACCAGACAACATTCCAATTTTGGGGAGGTCAAATAAAAGTTAATACAAATAGAAGAGAAAGTAGTCTAGTTTCACCACAAAATGAAGGAACTATTATCCCCACTACAGGCTCAGTGCTTGAGTTAAATCTATTATTTTCCCCTGTTTTTCCCAAAACCCCACCCAAAATCACTAACATTTGTACTTCTTCAAGTACAAATCAAGGAGGTAGGATGCTCTTTTTCTGGGTATTAGCAGATGCAAATTTTAAGTTTTCATGTCTGTGAGACCTTTTACTATTGATCTTTTAAAAAGTACATGAAACAAAACAAACTAGTGGATATATGTCTTGTCAGCAGGGCAATAACTAAGAAATGGACACATCATATTCTGTGTCTGGATTCACATGGATTTCATTAGCTCTCTTTTCTTCCCTAGTAAACAGAATATTGGAAAAAGGAAACTTTTATTTCACTTCTTAGATTTCCATATTAATATTTTGTGGCAGCAGGAGACAATCATTCTTTAGGATTTTTATTCAGTTTATTATAAATATTTGTAGACCATTACAACAAATAAGAAATGAGCGTTTAGTGAATAGATAAAAATATTTCCATACAAAAAACTTAGGGTATTTTATTCTTTATGTGCATTTTCTATATGTTGTTTTAAAATACATTTCTTTTGTCTCATAAAAAGTGTTCTATACTATTTTTCTGATTCAGAAAGTTGAACTGTATTTTAGAATTTCACTAGTAGGAAAAATGCTTTCTGTACATATAATCTGTGCAGTACTTTAATATCAAGAATGAAAGGTGTGATTAAGCAGAATTGCAAAGTGCTACTATTATGTTATATTACTATCCAAAGTACGGTTATAAACACAAGAATGATTCCATAGGTATTTATGTTTTGGTCCCCTATTTATTATCCAGCAGTGACTTTCAAGATGAAAATTGTTCAGCTTAGAAGTCAAGATTTTGCTAACTGTCAGCACTGCACACTCAGCATGATATCTAATAATCCAGATGCACTCCTTCTGCTTCATCCAGCACATCATTCATCACCAACAATAAAGAATTCTAGATTCAGAATATAGGTGGTAATTTTGCTGATGATGCATGAGGCAGAATAGATGACCATATAGTCTTCCACAGCTATGTTTACTGGCAATGCTGGGAGAAGTAAAAACATAGTTTTTGCTAATGAATATAATTTGACCAAGTAGGTAAAGTAAAAATTTGTCATGTGTACCAAATACTTTAATCATAATCACCCTTCAAACTAATTGTGAAACTTATTAGATATGTGACACTAGAACAGAAATGTTTTGTCAAAAAAATTAATTCACCAAAAATTGGAGTATTGGCCAAACCAAACTGTTTATGAATTCAGGCTGATTTTGCTGAATACTATCAGCTGGGGAAAAAAGGAGGGGGGGAAGACTTCACAAAACTATAGGAGGAGGACATTAGGGTGGTCAACTAATATATGGAAACCCAATTACCTCCTCAGCAGGTATGTCTAGACATGCAAATGATGTGGAGTGGGTTTACTCTAGAATAAATTACTCTAGAGTAAGCCCACCCTGGGTAGGCATCTACATGTGTGGCATTGATGCCTACACAGTCAGGTGGATTGCAGATTGGCTGAAGGGTCGCACTCAGAGGGTGGTGGTGGATGGGCCATATTCAACCTGGGGAGAAGTGGGCAGCGGAGTCCCCCAGGGCTCAGTCCTTGGGCCCATGCTGCTCAATCTCTTTATCAGCAATTTGGATGAAGGGGTGAAAAGCACCCTGTTTAAATTTGCTGATGATACCAAAATTTGGGGTGAGGTGAGCACACTAGTAGGGAGGGAAAGACTGCAGCAAGACTTGGATAGGTTACAGGGGTGGGCTAGCAAAAACAGGATGTGCTTCAACACTGACAAGTGCAGGGTGCTGCACTTGGGCAGTAATAACCAGCAGCACACTTATAAGATGGGAAACTCCCTTCTTGAGAGCACGGAGGCAGAAAGGGATCAGTTCTGGAGCAAGTAAAACAACAACACTCTAGTCTGGGAGATAGGGCACCTGAGTTTCAGTTCCTGCTCCAGTAGATGTCCAGCTAGTTATGCAAAATGGACCAATAATAACAATAATATACCCACAAATAGCCATCCAACATCCTGAATGCACACTCTAACTACTGGACTATTGGATAGAGGAGAGCATGGCCAGCTCCAGCAATTTTGTAAGTGTAGCCCTTCATTTCCTTTGCTTTTTCTCATGAGTGCCTAAAACAAGAGGATTGACTGGAATACTTCATACTCAAACAAAATGAACCATTTGTTTCAGCCAGGAAATAATTCAGTATTTTATATGTGCTTTCACCTGGATCAATGTCTTTTTCCATTTTTCCACTTCACGATCAAAACAAAAACATCAATTACTTGCACAGGCTTCCTACAAGTTCCATTTCAATGGGAACAACTCTTATTATTTGGACAAAACTTGTAACTTAACAACAGTATTTCCTTGGCAATCCACAATGACAGTCAGACAGACAAACCGACAGATAGATAGTGTTGCCAGCCTTGGCTATTTTCAAGGGGCCTAGGCCAAGCTGCAGAAGCATAGCTAAGCAAAAGTAACTATAGCGTGAACCACAGAGTAAAAAGCAGCCTTGTTTATGGAAGAGCATACATTTGAGAAGAGAAAGCAGGATGGGGGCAAGCGCTGTTCCATAATGGAGGAGATAAGGAGATAAGAATCCTTCCCTCCAAAAGCGTATTTTTCACAGAAACAAAAATGCCAACTAACTGACATCTTTAACATCCTCAAGAAAACTGGTTCAGTCTGGTTCCAAAGATTTCAGTGAAACAAAGAAATGTAAATAAAATCAGAAGTAATTTAGTAGAATATAATAATATACCAGCCATCTATAAATATGGGGTATAGGCAGGAGGGAAATTTGAAGAATTCAGCAAATTTGAGAAGACCTGCTGCCAATTTGCATGCCACTCTCCTCCCACCTCTCTAATCTCCCCAGATGACATAGGTGAGAATCAATGTTGTACTGTCCTAGGTAGCGAGTTGGTCTTTGCAATAATTGTTTTTGGGTTTTGAAGTGCAAGCAAATAAGAGGTCCAGCTGTAGACCTATTTCTGCCTCTTTCATCAGTAGCCAACCTGCAAAGTTACCTGTAATATGGGTAACTAATCCACAGACAGACAGACAGACAGACAGACAATATACATATAATTGATAGGAAAAAGGTAATCAAGTCACAGACCCTTGTGCTACAGTAAAATTAAAAGACTTAAACCTACAGTAATAAAGAATTAAGTTAGAGCTGAAGGTTCAGTACTAGGGTTTGATTAGTTGAGCCCATAGATGCCTTGTAGACTTTAGAATTGTGAATTATACCTACATATTAATGGTGTTTTCAATGAAGGACTATGCAGCAATATTCTTTGGGTGCGTCTTGAGGCATAGATAGCATTGTGGGTGCTAGTTTATTTTTAGTACAAAGAGTAAAGCTCCAGCTGTTTAGGTAATTGTGCCATTATTCATAGCCCTCACATGCATATTTATGATTCCCTTTCCCTAGTGAATACTTTATAAGAATATTCAGGATACAAGAGGCCTAGAGTTTATCCAAAGACTCCATACTAGAAACTTAAAATAACAGCTTATAAAAACAAACATAACAACCAGCAGATCATAGACCAGTCCCTCTTTATGCACTCTACTGTCCCACCAATAAAACATCCATTCGTTAATGAGTCGAGCCATTTCCTATACAGTCCCAAAACAAACCCAATTCACACCACAAGACTTCATTAAAAAACCTATAATCACAAATGCTTTAGCCAATATAAAAAGCTTCCTCTAAAATGGGCTTTGTCTAGATCTGCCTGGAAGGTCAGCGTATAGAGGTAATTTTAGATAAAACATATAAACAAAATTCCAAAAGCAAGTTATCCAGATGAAACAGGATTAACTAATTAGCAGAATGGCAAGGATTAAATTCAGGGTATCAATCTTAATTCATAAAACTTTTAACAATCTGAGTCTTAAGTAGTTGAGCAGCCACCTGCTGCTTTATAATATTTTTGCTCAAAATTTTTGCCCTGTGGGCTGGATGGGTGGTTCCCAGTCTAGCCACAGGCCAAATCCAGCCAGTAGGCCTATTCCAGCACACAGGGTGGGCAGGGCAAGGCCCAATCTGGCCTCACAAAGGAAGCGTGGGAGAAGGCTTGTGGCCTGAACCTGATCCAGCCACATGAGGGAGATGGAGTGCAACTGAGCCCTGATTTGTCTGCACAGGAGAGGGGACATAGCTTAGCCCCTACCTGGCCAGGCAGGGCTTGGGAATTTGGCAGCGGGGAAGGGTGGCAGTATTAATTGCCACTGCTCCAATGCCATCAGATTTCCTGATCTGTGGAGAACACCCCTGCTTTATATTCTTGCCTGGCAGATACAGTTTATCTGCTCTGCTCTCAAACCATAGGTTGAGTCAGGACCAAACTGGAGAAAGCTCTAAGATGAGGGTCCTCATGCATGGGCTTTGCCAAATGAGAAACAGCTTACTGGTACTCTCATGCTCTGATTTTCTGCTCACAGGAAAGGCATCTGTTTCAGCTGGTCTGTCTTTGGTATCTCTGGGCCTTTGTACATGCCATGTTTTTTGCCCTTTCTTGCGCTGAAACAGCATGACTGTTTGCATGAGCAGGTTTTCTGGATGCTTTAAAAGTCTTTCTAGTGCATTAAAGTAAAACTCCTTGAATGTAGTTTAGTTTGGCTTGCTGCGAATAAAGCATCACATCCATGGATTTATTGCGTGCAAACACAAGGCACTCAAAAACGTGTAATAAGCCTCTTTGTCCACCAGATGGCACTACGACTTTTTTTTAGTTCACCCCTTTGAATTGCTTCTGCTTTCAAATTGCTTCAGCTTTTGCTTTTTCTTTTTTTCTTGTGGTGTGTGCCAGCTCTGTGCTCCCACAGCTCTGTGGCAGAGCACAGGTTGGGAGGGGGCCAGGTCAGGGGGACAGGACTGGACTATCCCTACTCTCCTGCGGCACTGGCTGGGGACCAGGCTTAATTCGTTTGAAAACTTAGTGCATGCAAACACTGATGCAACACTCCAAAATAAATAAAGTTTAAATTTTGTAAATTAAATTTAATGAGGATTAAACCCCATGGGGTGTACAGGCACCCTCTGTCCTTTTTATATTCCTTATTCATGTTCTCTTTTTTTACCTCTCATCTACATCTGAGAATTTTCGGTTTGTGGGGAGTTATGCTTTTGATGTTGTTTGGCTGGATATTCTATTTGACTGGCTGGGATCTTATTAAATTCTTGGTTCCTATTTAATTTTTCACTGTATAGAACAGAGGTAGATACATTTTAATTCATCTACAGGAAATAGAATAATTCCAAGATTTCTTCCAATAAGAAGAATCATATTAAAGATAATATTCAATATTTTAGCATTATGATTCCTTGCCCAAGGCAAGATGAAGACTCATAAGAACAACTGCACCTCTCAAAGTGAAGGGGAGACAGCAGTCATGTTTTTAAAAACAGTTAAAACTAAGGGACATTTCAAGAGAATACTTAGAAACAGACTCTTAGGGCTTGAACACATAGTGTGTTGACAGCAATGGAATCAGCCTTTTCACTAGTGTAAACAAGAAGAGGACGTGACATATAGCCCTTTACTGGTGCAACTTAACCTGAAGTCATAGTAAAATTACTCTGGGAAAAATCTGGAGTAAAACTACATTGGGATAAGTAGTATATATATACTGCTTGATAAAAACAACATAGCCTGGATCAACGGACAACATTTATACTATTAAAAACTTACTAGGGCTAAATTGCAGCAGACTTCTTAGAATGCCTGTGCCTCGCCTACATTAGTGTTCCTACCATTGCTAGTCAGCTTAACATTTCAATGCAGTTCCAAATGAAGGGGTGGATTTTCAAACCAGCTAAGCATCCAGTCCTATTTAGACAACTAAATGAAGTAGCCAGATTTTCAAAACTTCAGTGTCCTCATTGACCTTAAACCTCAGCTGTTACCTTGCATTGTCATCTGAGGGGGCAGACTGCAGCATCTGCATAAAGTCTCATTGACTGTTCTGGGGCTCCAGGTGGGCCCAGCTGCCTTTCAGCCTGGATCACAGTGCAAGTTCAGGGCCTTAGTACTGCAACAACAAACACTTGTGTTTGCATATCACTACTTTAAAAAAAGAAAAAAAGAAAACACATGGGAAAAATTGTCCATGATTAACATTGGAGTGGCTTCTTTAAGCAGACTTGTTCCCCGTCGTATTCTTGACTATATAGTAGCACAGTTTCAGTGTGCTTGTTTTTTAAATTACCTTCTTTTTATACTTATTTCTATAGCAACAAGCTTGAAATAAGATATTGAACTATCACAGGAATCTATAACAAGTAGCAGACTCTCCTGTCTTTCCGTATTTGTTACCACTAAGCTCCACTAAAATAGGGTTTTTTTCCTGAAAGCAGCTCCAACTCTTTAGATTTCTGTCTTGAAAGTGTTTTTCCTATCTTCTTAATCCCATTACTTCCCTCTGCTAGAGAACATCATATGATGAAAAACTGGCCCGCAGTCTTCAGGGACCAAGCAGTGATTCCCCAATCTTCACCTATACAGCTGAGGATGTATCTAAGGTACAATTTCATTGTGCAGTCTTTATTACCCCGTAAATTCTTCTTGTCACTAGCATTTTTTTATTTTCAAATTTGCCTTTGAAAAAAAAATTGGTAACACACAAGTATACTTTAGCTTGTGTCTTGTATTGTCATGCATAAGTTCTGGGTCCAAGAGCAGCAGAAAATGGGAGTGCTGTGAAGACTTCCTGCTTAACTGTGCAGGAACTGGAGGACTTCTGTTGTTTGGTGTTGGCCCCAGTGGAGATTGATCTAACAGCTCTGCTCTTTTGGGTCTGACTCTTCCTTCCGGTGTTAAGGATAAACTGACTAGATGGAGATTCAGAGTTTATTGGCTCCAGCAGTCCAACTCCGCACCTTCTAAAATTTCAGGGCTCCAGACTGTTGTGGGCCAAGTGTTCTTCCATCTCCACATGAGGGAGATGGAGTGCAACTGAGCCCTGATCTGTCGACACAGGAAGTCTTATAGATTCATAGATTCATAGATTAAGGGTCGGAAGGGACCTAG